CGTGTGGCCCTTTTACTGAATCCAAACTTCACAGAACAAATTCCCTTAATAAAAGGATTTATTCTTTAAAACTTGGACTCAACCTTACCCAAGGAACTAGAAGGCCACATGTGGCCTCCAGGCCACAGGTTCCCCACCCCTGCACTAGATCAGTTGAGATTTCTGTTTTAGCTAAGGGACCCTCCCTTCTTCAGGTGGAGATATGGTGTGACCTAAACCAGGTCCCTAGTAAATAAAGGACTGGACTTGGAATTAGGAAGATCTAAGTTCAAATGCTGCCTCAGACACTGATTAACTAATGTGACCCAAGATAGGTAACATGACCTCAGTTAGCCTCAGTGTCTTTATCTTTAAAATGAGGGGGTTTGAGGGGGAGGGTAGGTGGCACAGTGGATAGAGTATCAGCACTGGATTCAGGAGGAGCTGAGTTGAAATCCGGCCTCGGATATGTAACATTTACCAGCTGTGTGTCCCTGGGCAAGTCACTTAACCCCATTGCCCAACCAAAAACAAAATAAAACAAAAAAGCAAAAAAGATGGGGTTGGACTAACTGACCGCTAAGTTCCCTCCCAGCTCTAAATTTATGATCCAAGAACCACATACTTGGTTTGAACACATCCAGACCAAGATCGTGTTTTCCCTAATGAGTTCCCACACACACACCCTGGGATCAAGCCCTGGGCATTCTCCAAACCTTGGGCAAAATGTGCTAGTCCGAAGAAGCAATGACACTCAGTCTATATTTTCCTGAGCCCCTTAGCTCAATTACACCTCACTCTTCCTAATTGCTCTTCCTTACCTCCCGATTTACAGTTGTGGGTAGAAATCCCTAACTCCCATCGCTTATGTTTTCAGAAATGATTCTACCCAAGCTATTCCTCTGCCTCTACTTACAGGTTCATAAAAGGCTCTTAAATTCTTTGAAACCTTCCCCATCTAAACTATGGTTGAATCATCTTAAGACTAAAACCACCTCCAAGCAATTTTCTCATTTCCTTATATATATTTCCTGAAATATATCTATACCATTCATCTAGATTCTGTCTTCAGACAATCACAGCCATGGGGAATAAATGAAGCCAGTAAACATTTAAAAATGGAATTGTATCTTGACCAAGTTTGATTTTAAATTCAGCCCTGATCCTTAAATATTTTCAGTGGTGGATACTTGGCCATAATACCATCTTGTTTTTCTTCTTTAACACATTCAAGGAGAAACAAATATATATGATGGACCATTTCATTCTATGTAAGAAAGAAAGAAAAAAACGAAACAAAACAAAACAAAAAAACAAACCCCAGTGTCTTGAACATAAATCCAAATGGGCAACAAATGAAGCTGGCCATTGATTACAGATCTAGAAAATAACTATGAATTTGTCCATTTCATCTATGACAAAGAGGCTATTCATGGTCATGGGTCTCATAGTAGATATTCACAGTAAATAATGAATTACCCTCTGAGTCTCTTGAGACCCCCATTCTACTCCCAGTTCTGCTCCAAACTAACTCTAAGACTTCAGTAAATTCAGTTGATTTCTCTAGGCCTTAATTAACTCACCAATAAAAAGTTTGACAGGATTCCTAAGGCTCCTTTCTGCTCCAATATTGCACATGTTATCATTGTGATCCTACAAATTACCACAATAGAACGGTGGGCAGTTTTAAAAATTCAAGTGACAAAGAAAATGAAGAAAGTTGGATTTATTTTTGTTCATTTTCATCTACTCAGATGGCGTCTGTGGCCCGTGATAATTTGGCTTCTACAGACCATCATGTTATGGCTATTCAAAGACAACAATGAATTCGCTTCAGTGCTACAGAAATTATTAAACAAAAAGGACTGTTTTCTTCCTGTCCTCTATTACCTTTACGGGTGATAGTCCTTAGGAAGTGAGTAGCTTTCCCCACCCACACTTGCTCAGCTAGGAATTACAGGAAGCAACCATGGGAAATTTGAATATCCTTGCCCATTTGAACCCAGAGAAACTTGATGATACATGAGGAATAATTCGGTCAAAATGGAGATGGTTTGTCAAGGTTCGAGACATCTGTGCATGTCGAGGCAAAAGACAAACCAACCAGGTGCCAGAGGGAAAAAAGCATATCAGGCTTTGGAATCACAATGGTTCAATTTAGTATCTCCTTCAGGTGACTGAGACTCATTTGGAAATGGTAGGGACAAAGTATTTCTGATCTCTATATGGACTATGGTCAGAAACTGGCAGGAATTATAAGCCAAGGAAGATACCAGCTCCTGAGAAGGGTCCCTTATATGGTACTGCCCAAGGACAACTGAATTTCCCACTAAGTCAGAGAAATCCTGGCATGGTCTCCTCGGAGACATAATAGGGTCAGCTTACGAGAGCTTTGCTCCAGGACAGTATGTGTTACTGAAAATCATATGAATGTCTAGCTTCAAGAGGAAATTCTTCCTGGCATGCGGAGTTCCCTGTACCAATGCAGAACAGTATCTGCTCTGCAATTTATAGACTTAGAAAATTGCCTCGGGCAGTGATAAGTTAGCTTCCTTGTCCAGGACGTCAGCAGGTGGTATATGCCAGGAACAGGACTTGAATCTAGGTTTTTCTTCCTCCTAAACCATCTTCCCATCCATTGTTCCGGGCTGCCTCACACCATAGAAGAGACATACAATGAGTAATTCCAACCCCTATGTTAAATGGCATTGTCTTCAACTGCCACTTTGATAATGAGTTCATTTCTCTCTCTGTCTCTCTGTTTCTGTCTCTCTGTGTCTCTCTGCAACTGTGTGTGTGTCTTTTTGTTTTGTTTCTGTCTCTGTCTGTCTGTGTCTGTCTGTCTTCTCTCTCTCTCTCTCTCTCTCTCTCTCTCTCTCTCTCTCTGTGTCTCTGTGTCTCTCTGTGTCTCTTTATTTCTCTGTCTCTTGGTCTATATATGTTTCTCTCTGTCTCTGTTTCTCTCTCTGTTTCTGTGTCTGTCTGTCTGTCTCTCTATGCCTCTGTCTCTTTGTCTCTCTTTGTCTTTCTCTGTCTTTCTATCTGTCTCTTTCTCTATCTCTCTGTCTCTCTGTCTGTGCCTTTCTGCCTCCCTCTTTCTCTTATCCTCCAAGTTTTACTTATTGGCTCCTTTCCTCCTATTGCCTTGAAACATTCCATTCTTTAAGAAAAGAAATCACCCTTGACCCTTCTGTCCCCTTGAGTTATCATCTTCTATCTCTGAGCTCCTCAAAAAAGCCTTCTACACTCTCTGCCTCCTCTCAGAACCAGAATCATAGCTCAGTGACCGGGACATTCCTTCTAAATTCTCAGGATTGGGATTGGGAGGATTTAGAGGGCCTACTTATGCACTTAGAGGTCAGGTAGTTGGTGCAGTGTATAGAGTGCCAGGCCTAGAGTAAGGAAGACTCATCTTCCTGAGTTCAAATCTGGCCTCAGAAACTCACTAGTTGTGTGACTACAGGTAAGTCCCTTTACCTTGTTTGCCTCACTTTCCTCATCTGTAAAATGATCAGGAAAAGGAAATGGCAAACCTCTCTAGTGTCTTTGACAAGAAAACCCCAAATGGGGTTAGGGAGAGTTGGACATGATTGAAAAACAACTCAACAGCTACAGGATTTGTAGTCTTGTAAGAAAGAAGACTACAGAAACTGGTCATTGTAGGGGCAGATCTCAGTGACAGGAGTGTGAGAACAATAGCTTGGTTCATGGCGTGGCACCCTTGCCCCCGGAGGATATAGATCACAGCTGGCTAAGGAGTAGGGGGAAAGGCCCTATCCCAGGCACACGGGCCAGTCCCCTCAGTGTCTGAGTGAGCTCATGGAAATTTCACCCTCCACCTCTGCCACTCTGTATCACTCAGATGCTTGTCCTGAGCCATGAAACTAGGCACTAGAGCTCAAGATAGATTGAGACCACTGAATGAGCTTCAACAATGTCTCAGAATGTCCAATTTCAGCAGCTTGGCTAGAAGAGCACTAGATTAAGAGTTAAGAGATCTGAATGCCAGTCTCTGCTCTGAATAATTTGGGCATATGTTCCCATATCTTTCAAATAAGGCTGTTCAACAAGATGGCCTCTGTCATCCCTTTCCAGCTCTAACAGTCTACCCCATCTTCAAATTCAACAAGGCCCTAAGCCAGTAGGGATCTCAGAGGCCATATAGCTCAACCCCCTTCCATTTTACAAATGAAGAAATACAAGTCGAGGGAGGCTTTGACTCATCAAGATTATATAGGTAATAAGTATCTGTGGGAGCGTTCCCTTCAGAGGCCATGCCCCTTCCATTTGCCCACACTACCTCCTTCATTCTACATAAGCTTCAGACAGCATGAACTTAGTTTTTCAAAAGGTGTCTGAAGCAGAGCCTCAATTTTGCTTTGTGTTTTTTTTCCAATGCAAAAGGAAAACATTAATCAAGAAAATTATTTCTTTCCAAAACTGATATTGGGTCATGAAATTTGATGCAATAATTTGTAAGTGTTTTTTTTGAGGGCATAGTCAATCCTTGGCTTCAAGCCCTCTTTCAGACCTTTCTCCCAAGGCAATTATCCCTTTGCTCTAGGAGATAACATTTTCCCACACTCTAAGTGTGAAAAAATGGAATTTGTCACCTAATTAACAATAATTATTCAAAGAAAATAAGCTAATATGGAAATATGTTTTGCATAGTTTCACATGTGTAATTGATATCATATTGCTTGCCTTCTCAGTGTGTGGGAGGGAGGCAGAAAGGAGGGAAACAATTTAGAACAAAAAAAAGTAAATAAAAAGAATTTTTTAATAAAATAAAATAGGGAATTACCAAATGATGCTCCCTCTCCCTGGGGACAGGCCTCCCAATAGTATCCAGTTCCCATCCTCTCTCCTCTCTTGTGAGCACCCCACCCAAACTGAGAACCCTTTCATGGAACTAGGCCCAAACCTGATTTGTGGTAGATGCCCCTGGTGCAAAAATTAAATAGCTGCTTAAACTAAGAGTTATCATGGAAATTATGAGGCAAAGAAGCAAGGAATTTGGCTCTTTTAAAATCCAAATGTTCATTTTTTATTGAAAGAAAACTTCCAGGAAATCTTAACCAAAAAAACTAGAATAAAGCAAATGTTTACAAAGTTGACAATGAGTTACATTTTTGATAAATATGCTCATGGTCCTAAGCAGACTTCTAAATGATCAAAAATGTCAGGAAAACTTCCCTCAGATATAATATAAAAAACTTTTCTCAAGTTAAATAAATAAACCATGGTGGTGACAGAGCACAACCATTTAAATAAACTGAGAACAAGTTATTAACACACCATAAATAATTTCCCCACCAAGAAGAATTCTGGGACTTAGGCCCAGGAAGACATTGCTGTTTTATTTCTTAAACCACTCTAGATTCCAGAATTAGGGCGAAAGTCCCTAATGCAGATTTCCACTGATGTCATCCCTCCATAGACATTTCTGGAAGACAGAATCCTCCTCCTAACAGTGAAAGTGGGAGGAATATCGAGTACTCCCCAGGTCTTAAATTAAATAAAATTCATTATCATTTTGTCTCCACTTCCTATCAGGGCAGTTTTTATCATCCAGTTCTAGCTCCACACATCCTTTTAATAAATACATAAATAGTAAATATCTAAATTAAATTATAGCTGAAAATAATATCATTATATTGTCTGACCCTGAAAAAAAAAAGCAGAAAGAGCTTTGGCATTTTTGTCCTCATAGTGAGCATCTCAGTGAGGTAGGAATGAGCAGGTGTTCTTGGGCAGTTACAGAAATGAAGAAGTTGAGGCACAGTGAATCAGTGGCAAAGTCAACACCTCACTTCCTTAATTCTCTGGGCCATGTTGCGTATTTTAAAGAGAAGCAGGTTTCCCTGATGTTTCATTGGCATCTTCATGGAGAGATAAATTCAAGACAAAGGAGAAGGGCTTCCATTTTAATTTGAGTTATTCTCAGCTCTGAAATGGAAAATATTTTAAGAGATTAAACAATGCTACACCATATAAGCTCCATAAGAGAGAACTTTTGAATACACATCTTGTCGGGAACATAATATCTTCTAAGCTTGACTTTGCTCTCTCTTTCAAGTCATTTTTTTAAAAGACATCTCTGTTGTATATTTAAAAGGAATAGGCAGTTGTGCATGGGAGATTTGCTTTTGTAATATACTATGTTATGGAAAAATAATATCAGTAGTAGTAGCAGTAGTAGTAGTAGTAGTAGTAGTAGCAGTAGTAGTAGTAGTAGTAGTAGTATACTATAATGAAATGAAGTTGGAGTCAGTTAAGACCTGGATTCAAGTCCAGCCTCTGACACTAGATAACTGCTAAATCTAAACAAGTAACCTAATCTTTTGGAGTCTCAGTTTCCTTATCCTTAAATGTCCATCTTAGCAGGCATTTCTATCCGACTGATTTGTTATGTGGATCAAATTCAATAATGTTCATAAAATGCTAATAAAATCTTAAAGCAAACTACATAAATGTCAATTACTGTTATGTTTACTTCTTTTATTGAAAGGGTAGATGCCAGAAAGGGGAAAACACAATAAACTACTCTAAGACAATGAGAAAGGAATGGGCCAATTCCATTCATCCATTCTCATTTTCCTGATTGTTTCTCTCCTGCTTTTGATTTCTCTGGAATAATGATATACTCACTTCTTCAAAAACACATGAAGAATTTTCTGCACCCACTTTGCTTGAGGGTCCAGGCAGAGCTCCCTGTTATCTTGAAGAGTGACACTAAAAAGAAAAAAAAAACATGATGAATAATGATCCACTCTGAAGGGTCTCTTTGCTACCAAAATCAATGCCCCCCAAGTCAGTGGGAAGCGTAGCCATTCAATCGGAACACTGAGATTCTCCCAGAAAACTCTCCTTAATATACAGGGAGCTATGTTCTTTAATTCATGACATCAACTTCCAGGGAATGCTTTCTCTTGCCATGGTAGAATGATTTAGCACCAGAAAATTCAAAAGGTCCAGGGGAGAACTACTACTCACATAACACAAATGATGACCTACATCATTGAAGTCAACTGATGGCTCATATTGAAATATCAAAATTTGGGGACTTTCCGCTCTTCTTTTAATTTATCTTTCACTGTTTAGAGCAGCAGTGTGCCTAGTTCCTCATTCCATTCTCTGTAATGTCTCAAAGAAATTATATTTAAAAGAAGAGAAAAGGCCTTCATAAGCTCCATAACTCAAAAATGTGGAAGTGTTTTTCAAAGTCATGATAAATGTCTGTAACTTTTTTGGAGAGTGTCAAACTGGGCCTCAACCTAGCAATTAGGGAGGTAGGATGATGTAGAGTGAAAGCACTGGGCTTGGAGTTAGGGAGACCTGAGTTCCAATTCTGATTCCTACGGTCTGTTGCTATGTGACTCTGAGAAAGTCACTTCCTCTTATTCTGTTTCAGTTCCCTTATCTGTCTAATGGAGATAATAATAGCACCTACTTCACAGTTTATTGTGATAGTCAAATGAGATAATATCTGTTATCTGAATGTTGGCTATTGTTGTTAATATTTAGTAGCTAATTGTTAATTGCTAATTATTGAAGAGCCTTAGGTGATGCAGTGGATAGAGAACTGGGCTTAGGTCAGGAAGACATCTTCCTGAGTTCGAATTTGGCCTCAGACACTTACTAGCTGTGTGGCCCTGTGTCACTTAACCCTGTTTGCTTCAGTTTCCTCATCTATAAAAGGAGCTGGAGAAGGAAATGGCAAAGTACTCCAGGATCTTTGCCAAGAAAACCCCAAACAGGGTCATAAAGAGTCAGACATGACTGGCAAGACTGAACAATAGCAACAATTATTAACGCTATTAATAATTAATAATTGGCAGCCTCATATAATCAGAGTTCATATAATTTTATGTAGGTTCTATTCTCCTTTTCTATCAAAATAAGTTCTAAATTAGAGTCATTTTAAAAGAAAACTATTGACATGCCTCCCTGATGACAAAACGGATTTATGACCATCACAATTTACTTCAAAGATCAATAATAGGGGAATTGTTTCCTCATTTAAAAGTTCACCACAGGAATTTATTAAATATCAAGTTTCTACAGCATTTGTTAAAAATGGTTATATTACCCAAAAAAAAATCCAATTCCCATGAAACTTTTTATGAATGCACCCTTGGCCAGTTTGGGTTGAGACAGATGATGGGGACATCTCAATAGTTAGGTGGGTTCTGTTGATTCCTTTGCAGTTTCCATAATCTCTCCTTTCCCTCCTTCTCCTCCACCTCCCCCCACTGACCCCAAGCCCAGTCTCCTAAATGAAACCGTTAGTTCTTTTCTGAAAGTTACATACATGATTTCTGTGTTCGGGCAGTGTGGTCCGCTGTCAATCATTCTCAGCTCCTTAATGAGTTTAGGATGGAAAGGTTTGGAATGTGTTTTGATGCACAGACACCGGAGTTCTGACACTGCCTGAGGCACCACAGCAGCTGGAAAGGAATAAGGGAATGAGAAGAGTTAGTACTAACCGAAGTTATCAGCTTCATCAATCCCAGTTGGAAGATTTTTTCTGACCATGAAATCAATTAGTGATTTTGAAAACTTGTCGCACATCTTATCATTAGCACACAAATTCCTCTAAATCTGAAACCTGATCTCTCATCAGCCTCAATTTGTTTCTCCGGGAGCAGTTTTCACTGGCTACTTCTAATGGGATTTTATTACAAGTACACCTTTGGAGTCTTTTAGCCAATGCTCCTCTGTTTATTTGTCCTCACACTTTTCTCTATTTGGCATGGAATTTTCCAGGGCCATTCTACAGAAAACAAATAAGTAGAAAGAATAGAGAGAAGTGGCAAGTAGAAATAAATTTATAAAATGAATTTTTGAAAGTTTTAGTATTCCTAGTAATATTACCAAGCAAAAGGTGTCCAGTAAACATGTCAAAGTGTCAAGAGTTGCTAAATGTTCAGGATTCCTAAGTCTTTCTGCAGATGTTAGGATGTCTGAGCAACCATGGATTAGGAACATTATCATGTACACAAAGAGTAAGGTGGGCATTTGTCAAACACATGTCCAATTTGACTGATGTCAGTAAGCAGTCTGCTCAAATGAGTCTCCAAATACAATGTAAGGAGAACTTAGTCATCTGTAGATGTCATTCATGCCATGCTCTGGAATGTAGAGGTATATGTGTGCTTCTGTTCCTGGCAGGCGTGCACATATTTGTTATTATATTGTTATAGTTAATATTACATAATAACATTAAGTATCATAAGTTATATATTATATATAATTTATATTATATAATTAGTTAGCATTTATATATTTCTTTAAAGTTTGCAAAATGCTTTATAAATATCACCTAGTTTTATACTTATAACAACCCTGGGAAGAAGGTGCTGTTATTATCTCTTCTTCACAAAGGAGGGAACTGAAGCAAACTGAAGTTAAGTACTTACCCAGGGTCATACTGCTACTAAGTGTCTGAGAATAGATTTGAACTTAGGTCTCCCTGACTCCAGACCCAGAGTGCTCTATCCACTGCACCACCTAGTGGCTCTTTCTACTGATTTATTTGCAAGATACCGTATTCACATTTAATTTTATACATATATGTGTAACATGCATGCATGCATGTATTTGTTTATATGTGTGTGTATATATACACAAATTTGCATGCATATATCGTGTGTGCAAATAACTATAGATATGTGTGTTAATACATATATGTATGTGCACATATTTGTGTATGTGTGTGAATACATTTACGTATATATGTGTATATGTACATGCATGCACACATTTAGGACCTGACTAGCAGTAACAAAAATTGGCATTGGCATAGCGCTATAAAGTGTGCATGCATTATCAAACTGGAGCATACAGCAACCCTGCCGGCTATGTATTAGTCTCCCCACATTAGAGATCAGGAAGCGGAAGTCCTGAGAGGATAAATAACTTCTCCATGATCTAACAGCTTATAAGTATTAGAGGTGGGAATTATTCAAATTGTTCTCTCTAATCTCATTTGCATTTGCTAAATTCTATCCTTGCTAGGTGGTTTGGTGGATAGAGTATCGAGCCTAGAATTGGGAAGACTCATCTTTGTGAGTTCAAATCCAGCCTCAGATCCTTAGTAGCTGTATGACCCTGGGCAAGTCACTTAACCTTGTTTGCCTCAGTTTCTTTGCCTATAAAATGAACTGGAGAAGGAAATGGCAAGTTACTCTGGTATGTTTGTCAAGAAAACCCTAAGTGGGGTCACAAAGAGTCAGACATGAGTGAAAATGACTGAACAACAAATCCTTGTTTTAGGATAAATGGGTATAAAAAAAGTCCTAAAAAAAAGAAAGCAGTTCCAAAAGGATTCTATTTTTTTTGTATCCCTTGAAAAAGATAGTTTTCTTTTTACAGTATTACAATTTGCCTTTCTGGAAATGCATATTTCTAAGCAGGAACTGTATTCAGAGAGCATATCTCCTTAGCCTGAATGCTGAAAAAGAGATCTACTCACCTTCATTCAATGCTGCAGAAAGCAGGAAGATGGCCAGGAGGGTGACCAGCAGCTTGGAAGTCATGTTGGCAGTTAATTTGTGGTTTGGTTTGCTCTGTTTTCCTATTGGCTGGCAGCTGGAGCTCCTGTTAGCTGGGCTCCTTCTGAGGATTTCTGTTGGTTGGAGCATGCTAGTGGCTCTTTTATACTGTTCCAGCACTTCTCCAACATGGGCATTATGTCAGAGGAAATTCCACAATCTGCAACCCTGCAGGCATATTGCATTAAACTGAGTCATCCTGCTCTGAGTAAAAACCCCGTTAGAGACTTTTCTCAAGATCATGCTTGTTTACATAATACATGACAGTGGCACACTATTAATGGATATATTTGCATATTAAGAAGAGGACCTTTCAACCTGATTAAATGTGTCCCTTTGGGTTTATTTCATTTTCTTTTTTATTTATTCTGCTTTATTACATTGCATAATAACTAGCTGTGCAAGGAATTTTATTATCATTATCATCATCATCATCATCATCATTATTATTATTACTCTGGGAAGCATTAATTTATTTGACCAAATTTTCTTTCTCCAATGAATTCTCTCATTCTCCCACATATCCAATTAGTTTTCACATCTTTTCATTTCTATCTCCATAGCAACTCTCCATTCTCTCCACTATAATATTCACCACTCTACTTTGAACCTTCATCACCTCTTGACTACAGTACTGAATTAGCCTTTTTCCCCCATTGCGCTTTTTCTTTACTACCTATAAGAAGCATTTGATTCAGTATAGCAAATTGTCACATTTTAAAATATTTTTTCAAGTGTTTATATGTAAATGCAGAGAGAGAGAGAGAGAGAACAGAGAGAGAGAGAGAGAGAGGAGAGAGAGAGAGAGAGAGAGAGAGACAGAGAGAGAGAGACAGAGACAGAGACAGAGACAGAAACAGAGAGAGGGAACAGAGAGAGACAGAGAGGCAAAGACAGAGAGACAGAGAGACAAGGAGAGAGAGAGAACAGAGAGAGAGAGAGAGAGAGAGAGAGAGAGAGAGAGAGAGAGAGAGAGAGAGAGAGAGAAGGAGGAAAGGAAAGAGAGAAAGAGCACATGCTGGACTGCCTGTAAGCTAAATTGTCTTTGTTCATATCTCTATTAGATTATAAACTCCATCTGGGTAGATAAGGCATACCTTTGTGCTGTATATATATTATTGTTTATGCATATTTATATTGATGGTTGCCAAGCTGATGTCAACTGAATTGGAAACACCGCATTGTATTTGGTTTCAGGAGAACTGAATCCAGGTCTCAGCTATCTTAGCAGCATGGTGTTGGGCAACTAATTTACCCCTTTGTCTCTTAGATCCTCATTGGTAAACCTACTGGATGGAATTAAATGAGTTCTAAGGCTTTTTTTAGCTCTAGCATTATAAAATTCTATAGATCTGTCTTTGGAGTTAGGAATTAATGAAAACATTTAAGATTATGACCAATGTACTGACTAGTTAAAAGGCTAAGAATTAAAGATTTTTAACTTGTGACTGGTCAAAAAAAAGTTAATTGCAGCACCTACTTGAGGGGTATATTAGTGAAAAGCATACTAAATTCAGGAGTTAGAATGTAGTGGAGAGAATGCTTGACCTGGATCCATGAGAAATCTAGCCTCAAATATTTAGTAACTGTGTGACCCTGGGCAAGTCACTTAACCCTGTTTGCCTTCATTTCCTCATATGTAGAATGAGCTGGGAAGGGAAATCAGGGTTTGAATCCTTCCTCTGACACTGGCTCTGTGACCCTGGGAAGGTCCCCTAACCTCTCTGGCCTTCAGATTCTTTTTCATCTATAAAACAGAGGTAGTAAGAGCATAATATCATGGGTCTTCATGAGGATTAAAAGAGATAATGTATGTAAAGTGTTTTGCAAACCTGAAAGCACTATCAATCAGTCAACAATAAACCAACAAGCATTTATGAAGTGCCTACTATGTGCCAGGTGCTAGGGATAAAAATGTAATAAATGACAGTCTCCAAACACAAGAGGCTTGCATTCTAATGAGGGGAACAAAAAGGGTGTGTGGATAGATAGATAGATAGATAGATAGATAGATAGATAGATAGATAGATAGATAGACAGACAGACATATATATAATATACATACATACATACATATATTTCTATACACTTATGCATATAGACAAACTAAAATGTGAATTATTATTATTCTTCCCTCTATAACTTGCCACCTTTGAGATGTTGCCAGCATTTCCTTACATGTAAAATGGAAAAAGCCAGGTTGAAGTGAAGACTGAGTTAGTCAGTCAATAAACATACTGTGCCCCAGCTATATGCCAAGCACTGGGGCTACAAAGGAAGGCAAAAGGCAGTGTCTGTTCTCTAGGAGCTCTTGGTCTAATGAGGAAGACAATACACAAACTGAGGACAAACAAAGCTATATCCAGGATAAACTGAAGATAATCAACTAAGGGAAGGCAACAGCCTTAAGGGGAGATCAAGAAAGGCTTTTTGGAGAAGGTGGGATTTGGGCTGGGACTGGAAAGAAGCCAAGGAGGGGGAGAGTGTTCCAGGCACTGGGGACAGCCAGTGTCCAACAACAGATGAGTGTCTTGGGTGAGGCAAGAGTCACTGGGTCCTAGATTACCTGAGATTGAATAAGGTATAAGACTGGAAAAGGAGGAAGGAGCCAGTTTTTGAAGGGCTTCAAATGCCAAAGAAAGGATTTTATATTTGATCCTGAGGATAATAGAGAGCCCCTAGAAATTATTGAGTAGGAGGAAGATATGGGGTAAAGGGGATGGTTTAACATCAAATACAAGAAAGTATATGAAAGCATTTTGAAAATTGTTAAAAAAAACATAATAAAAGTATAAAGTACGATTCAGTTTTCTAACCCTGTTCGAAATCTCTTAAGAGGAATACTCCCTCCAAAAGCATGAATGAACTCTGCACAAAGCCCTTAGCAAAAGGTGGTCACTTGGTTCCTTAAGGGCCATGGACAACGTTAGCTTACTTTGCTCTAGGATGCTTTGACAATATTACTGTAAAAGTCTTTGGTTGGGGCACATTTCCAGACAATGCTTTTACTTACTAATACCCATCAACCAGGACAGTTGATCTCTTCAATGATTTCCTATTCATTCATATGACGAGGTTCCAAACAACAGGTTGGATTGTTTCTAGCATTTCCCTTGCCTTGTGTGCAATTTCTGCTGGGACCGGAGGCTAAGTTTTGAAACACATGGGTGAGCCACATTACAACATGAGCTTTCATTTCACGGGAATTGTTCTCCATCTGCTCAATGACAGTTTATCCATGTTTACCTTGTTTCAGCCCAACTTGTTCCTTGGTTGTGAATTCAGTTTGCCTTTTTGAGTTGAAATCTCAAATGTCTGGCAAGATTTAAATTAGGGACAGAGATTCAATTCACAAAGGGAAATAAAGGGAATAATTCTGTTCTGGTCAAGTACCATGAACATGAATGCACCTATCAGGTAAGGTATTAGCTATGCAAGTTCAGTCTGGCACAGAATAAATACCCAAAAAATGCTGATTGCCTAACTGACTGATACTTCTGAAAAGCAATACCTTGGGGCTTTTGAGAGATAGCCAGTAAAGGCAAATTTACTGAGGGAACTGCATGCTAATTTCTTTCAATATCACTTTAGTTCACTTGATATTATCAAGAGGTGAGGAGGCTAAGATGCAAATCCATACCTGGTTCATTTGGATCACCAGTCAATTTAGTGTTTTGATCTAGTTTTATGGTGAATTTGATTACTGGAGACAGTGAATTTAGCACTGATACACTCAGGCTATGGATAACCATGGTCAAAATACTCAATCTCAGCATCTGATTCCATTATTCCTATAGAACTGGCCACAAGGGAAGCTAGGTGGCACAGCAGATAGAGCACCAGCCCTGCAGTCAGGAGGACCTGAATTCAAATCCAGCGTCAGATACTTGACACTAGTTATGTGACCCTGGGCAAGTCACTTAACCCCATTGCCTAGTCCCCCCCCAAAAAAAATAGAACTGGCCACAATAACTGTCTGTGAGCAGAGGCCTCAAACAAGACAGAGAAAGTAACATTTTCAGGAAACAAAGTTGTCATTGAAAGAAAAAAAAAGAAACTTTTGGTTGCCTGAATTCAACCCTTCTTCATATATATATAGGCATTGTATTCTCAGAGTCCCTTACTCATCACCATCTTCCACTGGGTTTGTTAGAGTCATTGGATTTCTGGTATTAAACGCCTTCAGGAAAGGGTTGCTTTCAGGTACTTGAAGGGCTGTCATTGGAAAAGGGATCAGAGACTTGTTCTGTTTGGCTCCAGAGAACAGAACCAGGAGAAACAGATGGATATTACAAAAAGATCAATTCAGTCTTGATGTTGGGAAGGGGAAAAAATCTGCCTAACAATTAGAGCTCTCCTAAAGTAGAACAGGCTGCCTCAGGAGGTAGCAGGACCTCCTTCCTAGGAGGTCCTCGAACAGAGCCTCGGTGGATAGCTCCCAGGAATATTGTAGGTTCTTTTTAGGGCATAGGTTGAACTATATGACCATTCAGGTCCCTTCCAATTCTCAAATTCAGTAATTCATGATTCTCTCCACTTCTAGACAGGTGTACAAGCCAGAAAGGTTTCAGATTAATCAATTTCTCCTCCCTCCCTACCACAACCTCACCAAAAAAAAAAAAAAAGCTTTTGGCCACTACATAAACAAAGATACAGGCAGGAATGTCAACAGGAAACGGTTATATGTTTTTCCTTTCCTCCTTTTATTTTAGGTTGAATGGGAAAGTACCAAAGCTGGTAACTACCTTTTATAGCAAAAGAAAATATTTGCTTCATAGGAACTTAGCTCATTGCTTCTGTGGTTTCTTTGGTGTAGATATTCTTGCCAATGATGAGGATTGGAACCACTCTGTGCATTCTAGTAGATAGTTTTGGGGCATTTTTATGGAACTGAAAATAAATGAAAATAAATCATCCTCCAGAATCATGTACCTAGGAAGGCTGATCTCTTCTTTGTCCTTACCATGACCTCCTTCCTACCTGTCTACCTCCAGGACTTTCCCAGGCCCTTGTCTCTGCTTTGACTTTACTTTCTCTTCTTCTTCTTCTTCTTCTTCTTCTTCTTCTTCTTCTTCTTCTTCTTCTTCT